CTGTTTGGGTCATGAAAGGTTGGGTCGTTTCAGAGCTTCAGAGGTCCGCCGTTGGCTTCAGTCGTCGGATCGAGTGCCGAGTTTTCCGAAAACCTTTTTCTACGAGGTTATTTTCCTTCCAAGATATCAGACGGAGGCTAGGTCCAGAGCAAGCACCTATTCTTGGGACCGTTGTTCCTGGATGGTTTCGACCAGTGCTGGCTCTGATGTCCGAGTCATCCATTTTGTGGTGTTGGCGACGAGAGAAGGGTGGATGGGAACAATGACGTCAGCTACGCAGCAATCTAAGTTGAGAAGAATCAGTGTCAAGTAGATATTCTAGTAAAAATACCGTCCACACCCTAAGCTCAAACAAACCGTCCTCATCTAGCGCAAACCCAGCATCTTTGGAGATGTAATAAAGACTGGAGAGTCTATTTTGGGTAAAGTGGGCGAAAGGCGACGCCAAGACATGGACTTGAACTTCACCACTTGGTGGGGGCCACTCCCGAAGTCCCCTATGTACTGTGTATGGAGGTTCCTTCATGCCCGGGTTCAAGATTCCCACAGCTCCTACTAGAAGATATTCTAGGGTCATTGAATATGTACATTTCCACGTGGGCAGAGAGGCAGCTCTTGGCCCAGACTCCAACCCTAACCCTGGGCTGATCACGGCTTCGGGTTCAGACCCAAAGGGCACGCATCTCAGTTGAAACAGATCTTCAAGATGCCGGAAACTTCAAGCTTTTGCATTTACACTTCATACTGCATTCGCTCCTAATAAGGATACAGAAAACAGCAGGGGCTGAGGTGTCAAGACAATAATACACCGCCGAGACAGCATGCCTAGTCCTTCCCTTCCATCCCCCGCCTTCCTTCTGCCAGCCCCACAACCAGCAGCAATCTCTGAGCGATAAGGCGGCCCCCAACAGCCAACATCTCCAGGCCCCCAACCGCCCCCAGGCTCCCGCCCTCACTGCCCCAGTGCCCTTCACACCAGTCACACCGCCCGTGAGGTCACTGCCGTTAGCCATCCAACGTCCGAAGCCGATAACTCAGCTATACCCAGCCGCTTCAGCCCTCGTCTTTTTTAAGAATAGCTGCGTCTCCCCCCCCCCTCGAGAATCAACGTTCCCATTGCTGCCCAGTGCCCGTTATCTCCAAACTCCCCTAACCCCCCTTAACTCCATCATCGGCGAGAGGAAAGAAAAAGGTCAAAATAGGGAAAGGACGCCATCGTCAGGAGCGCTCTCGCGCCAATCCTGCATCCAGTTCCAAGTGGTACGACGACGACGACGACGACGACCTTGACAACAACGGAAGCTGGGATTTCCGCGTCCAACCAAAGAACGCCAGAACCAAAAAGCCAAATAAGCCAAAGAAACCAAATCACAGGCTCAAGATGGGTCAGGAACAGTCCGTCATCAGCGATGATACGCCCCCCGAGACCCTTCGGGACCGCAGCCTCGCCGCCGTCGCCGAGCACATCAAATCCGGCAAGGCCCGCCGCATCGTCGTCATGACCGGCGCCGGCATCTCGACCGCCGCAGGAAGTCCGTCACCCCCCCCTCCCCCTAACCCTGCCCTCCCTCGGATGCCACCGCTAACCTCACCAGTCCCCGACTTCCGCTCTCCCGAGACAGGCCTCTACGCCAACCTCGCCAAGCTCAACCTCCCGCAGCCCGAGGCTGTGTTTGACCTCGTCTTCTTCCGCCAGAACCCGGAGCCCTTTTACGTGCTGGCCAAAGACCTCTACCCCGGCAACTTCCACCCGACCGTCTCCCACGTCTTCATCCGCCTGCTCTCCAAAAAGGGGCTCCTCCTGCAGCTCTTCACCCAAAACATCGACTGCCTCGAGCGCGCCGCGGGCATCCCCGACGACCTCATCGTCGAGGCCCACGGCTCTTTCGCCCACCAGCGCTGCATCGAGTGCAAGACGCCCTACCCGGAGGACCTGATGCGCGAGCACGTGCAGGTCGCCAAGGTCCCGCGCTGCCTCGACGAGGCCTGCGGCGGCCTCGTCAAGCCCGACATTGTCTTTTTCCACGAGGCCATGCCCTCGCTCTTCTACCACCGCCGGGAGCTCGTCGACCGCGCCGACCTCGCCCTGATCCTCGGCACCAGCCTGCAGGTGCACCCCTTTGCGAGCCTGCCGAGCCTCGTGCGCGACGGCGTGCCGCGCGTGCTGTTCAACATGGAGCGCGTCGGCGGCCTGGGGTCCCAGGCCGACGACGTGCTCGAGCTCGGCGACTGCGACACGGGCGTGCGCAAGCTGGCCGACGCGCTGGGCTGGCGCGACGAACTCGAGGCCGAGTGGCGCGCGCTGGTGGGCGAGGCCGAGGCCACGCGCCAACTGAGCGGTATGGGACAACGTGCCGAGCAGCTGCGCGACGAGGTGGACCGGCTTGCCGAAGCCGTCGACGAGGCGCTGCACCTGGGACGAGAAGAGGATGCTAACGAGGTGGACAGTTATGGAAGAGCTCAAGCGAAAGCAAAAGGTGGCCAAGGAGAGGAGGGCAAAGAAGAACTTGGCAAAGAGGCGGCAGATGGCCCTTCGGGAGGGCTGGGGGTGGATCACGCTGTCCGAGGCCCAGGAGGTTCTGGCAAGGATGAAGGAGGCCAGGAAGAGAAGAAGGGCACAGAGGAACCTCGTCAGCCAGTTGCTGGGCTTGCTGTCGCAGGACCCGGCGCCAAAGATCCCCCCTCTGGCGATCCGGCCGGCACAAGGCCCAAGACCGACACCCTAGGAGTGGAACACTCGGGGAATGCTAGTGACCCAGGGGCGAAGTAAGGAACGCGGCGGGATAATTGGCTAGTCTTCCTCGAAGTAGGGGTGTGCTAGGGGCATTGTTCACTTGTGGCAAGGTGTATCCCGGACAGACGTCCATTGGAACGGGCGGTTTGCATCAGCCAGGTTGTTTTACCATATGAGTTCTCAGCATATGTGGTTTGTACCAGGTATCTATCGGTTCCTGTGTCTTTGTCAGAGTCGGACAGCGGAGAGATGTCTTTGTCGATCATGAGTCTTTGAATGAACAGAGAGCGGTACAATGCCATGGCATTGGAGGTGTTAAGGAGCTTAGCTCGGTATACAATGACAATGCCTATTGTCTAGACACATGCACTAGGGGCCTGTTGAGTGTTGGGGCGAGTTCGAGGAGGTTATTAACCATCAAGATGCACCCCGAGGCATTATCTTATTCTCCCCGCCATCACATCGATCTGGACGAGTCTTCTCGCCGGATCTTCAGAAGTGTCTGTGACTTTCGTGATCATTTGCCCCCGTATTCCCAACAGCAGGTCTGTCCCGGATTCCTTGCAAGTGTCTGCGAATTTGGTGATTATTCCCCCCGTATTCCCAACAGTCAGTCTGCCCCGGAATCCATCTACCGCCACCATGGACGGCTCAACGAATCGCCTCAGGGTCCGCTTCGCGGACCGGGTCATGTATCCCGCTCCTCGGGCACTCAGGACCCGCGCCCTCCGCTTCGACCCTGCCGCTAGCGGCGAGGTCCCGGATGGCGCGTTCCGCGTGGTTCAGGGCGCTGTCCGGAGATCTCCCTCGCTGATTGTCAGCCGTGTCACCGGTGAGCCCCATCCACATGTTCCACGTGGTTCAGGGCGGTTTCTGGGGGCTTTTCTCGCCGATCGTCAGCGGTGACCGTGAGCCTATCCCCCACTCCCCGTCTGCCTCGCTACTCATCAGCGGCGCCAGTGAGTCCCCCACCCCCTCCCCCCACCCCCTTACCCGCCGCAGGGGGCAACCTCGCCTCACCATCTCGGTCCCCCCTGCCCCCCCGGCCGCCAACGCCGGGCTCTTCCACCGCAGGGGCCGACCTCACCTCACCGTCACGATCCCCCCTCTCTCCCAGGTCGCCAACATCGCCCTCCCTCCCCGCCGCGTCACCACCCTCGGCCGCGGCATCCCCCGCACCCCCTTCCCCCCGCCCAGCGGGGCCGCCCGCTCCAGCCTCGCGTCGCCCCTCCCCATCACTCCACGCCGGCACCCCACCGCCGCCGCCCTCTTGGACTCCCTCCCCTCCGACCCTTTCTCCCCCACACCCTCCATGGCCACCCTCACTCCCCCTGCTCTCCGCTACTCTCCACCCCCAACATCTTCCACCCCGGCCCCTCCCGCGCCCTCACATTCCCCCGCCGCCCCCTCCCTCGCAACAGCGACCAGCCCAGCCTCCTCACGCTCGGGTTCCGCGCCCTCGACCCCCACCCCTCGTCGTCGCCCAGTCCGCCGCCCCTGCCCCCCCGGCAGCGGTGGTGCAGGCGGCGGGGGAGGACAGAGAACCGGGACAACAGGTGGGAGTGCTGCAACTGCGGGGCGATCAACACGCGGTGGGGGTTTTTGTGCTCGGTTTGCCGGGTGCATGGGCGGGGGGCGGGGATGGAGAGGTGTTGTCTGATGAGGGGGGAGCGGTGAGAGTGAGAGTGAGGGGGAGGGGGGGTGGGTTGTTCGTCGTGGGGACGTCTAACATAGGGGCAGGTGAGGTGAGGGGGGGGGCTTACATGGGCGCGCTTTCAAGGTGTTCCAGCTGGACTGGGGCATCGGAGTTTCAGGTCAAACAGTAGACTTTGACGGTGGGTGTAGACGGTAGGTTTGAGGTGATGGATCACTACTAGATTGATAAAGGCGAGTATTTTGAATAAACGGTAAGTTTTCCCCGAGAAATAAATGTCCCCCCTGTGTTCCTAGTGTATGTGCATGATGCCAATGAAGAAAATGTGACGTACTTCGTTTGAAGCGTCCCCATTTGAAATACCACCATCCAAACACATCATCCGAACAATTCTCAAATCTCATCCCAACTCCTCCTCCTAAATTTTAACTTCACCAACATGCTTGTCTAGCGAACCCCCCAGAATGCCGACACCCCTCCTACCCTCTGCAGTTCAGTTCACGTGATATCAATGGGCTAAAATGCTTCTAGACCTGTCAAACGGGAGGAGCAGAGACCAGTCCAAACAAACGGCAATGACACTCTAGAAACAAAAAGGCAGACGCCAAGTCACTCCCTCACCGGGGTTCGAACCCGGGTCCTCAGAAGATCTCTTTACAGTGAAAATCTGAAATGCTAAACCTCTACACTATAAGGGACTTGTGTGTATTCAATGAAAAAAGCTATCGGCATACTGCCTCCAAACGTGGGCGTGTTGGGCGTTGTACATCACAGTTGCTGCCCCTTCCCGTGTGGCTCCACTCTGGAAAAGGGGGCAACCGCAAATGTCAACACACCACGCAAACACCCGATCAGAAAACAAACATGAATCGCATAGAAAGATGACCGCCTGGCCTCCTGATACTGGTATGTAGTAGTAGTAGGCATGCTGAAACCACAGACTCTCCCACCCCCGCCTCCATCAAAACACCCCCCCCCATCAAAACACACCCAGAACCCCCCCCGCCCCCCCGACCCCTACCCAAGCAAACCACTACCGCCGCCCGTCTGTCCGTACAATTTCACAAAGTTGCGCAATGCCAGGCAAAAGGCAAAGTATCGTTTCCCGAAAGCTAGCGGCCGAACAATCTGCTGTGCTCCCTGCTTGCCTGCTTCCCGGTCGCGCAAAAGAATGCATGATACCATTGACAATCATCATCAATTCCGTGTGTCCCGTCATCCATCGACCGGCCGCTACGGTATGCCGTCATGCCGAGCCCCAGCCCGCCCCCCAAACTCCTACCTGCCATTCCTTGCGTGTCAACCTGGCGCCAGGGCCATCCAAAAGACTATGCCCGAACCGCATCTTTGGACCCCCCAAAACATTAGCCGGTGTCGTTGCCCAACGCTGCTCCCAAACCCCCGCCCGCTCCTCGCAGCCAACAAACTCCCCCCATCTCACACTCAGCAAGAAATATACTAAAACGCCCCAGCGACGGGAATCAACAGCTAACTTGCGCCTAAACCCCAGCCATGCCGGTCAACTCAAAACTCCAAGAAGGACTAAAAACACCAGTCAAGCCCGTGGTACATCTGGCAGCGAGAGGCAGGTATCGAATGAAACTCATCTCGCTCCAACGAGAAGTATGTATAATGGGACAAAGGGAATGGGTATGAGCCGTCCGTGCTATGGCGGCATGAGGGTTGCTTTTGCTTCTGCTCCTTTTGCAATGTATATTCGTCATCCCGGCCCCTGCCGGCCAGGACATGTTTTGGGAAACGAGCTCTAGCGATCGACTCTCGACTGTGGTTGCCAGCCGTTGAGGTACGCCATGAGGCCCATGCCTAGGAGGACGACGGTAATCATGGACGCATACGGCAGCGTCTGTATAATTGCCGGGTCTTGGGGGGCCGTGGCCAGGGCTGTCGACGTTGGCTTGATCGTGTTGGCCCGCGAGAGCGTCGGGGCCTCGGTAGACCCGTCGTGCTGGGTGACTGGCTCGACAGCACTGCCATTGGCATGGGCAGCGGTCTCTTCCACGCGCTCCTCTCTGCTGGGGCTCCTGACTCCTCGCTTCGACCTCGATCGTGACTTTCGCTCGGCCGCCAGCTTATCGTTTTCGTCACGCTGACGAATCTGTTGAACCATCTCCGCCAGCGTCTTGCGATCGGTATCCCGCTCGAGTTCTGCCTTCTCTGCGCGTTGCCTAAACGCCTCGAGTTGCTCCCTCAGGCTCATCATTTCCGTGTTCATCGTGTCGATGCGTGCTTGGAATGCCACCGCCATGGCCTCGATCTTGTCCGTCTGGGGCGGCGAGGTCGACTGCGGACTGCTCGAGGGTATGCTCGGCTCGGGGGTCAGGGGACGCTCGACAGGTGGATCAAAGGCCCTGTCCAGCTCCGAATGATGGCCGTTAGCCAAGGGAATCACCAGGGTGCCGTTGGTCTGCGCGTGGCTGGTCTCCTCCATCTTCAGCATCAACTCCTCGGCGAGAACGCGGGCTTCGCGCTCCTTGTTCAGCAGCTCCTCAAGCTCTCGCACCCGCACGCTATGGCTGTCCAGTTCTCTCCTTGTGGTATTCAGCGCCTCGGTCAGCTGCATGATCTGGTTGAGGCTGTTGTCCGGTCGAATGGGAGATGTGTTGGCCGCTTGCGCCTTGGGCCGCTCGGTGGCGCCACGCTTGAGAGAGGGCATATCGGAGGCGGCGCTTCGCGCAGCATCTGGCTTTTCTGGAAGGGGCTGCGATGGCGGCGGGGCCGGCGGCTCCGAGAATCGCGTCTTGTTCCCATCCGACCGGAACGAGACATTCCCGTTGGTGAGTGCCTTGGGAGGATCGGGGGCTTCGGGCTTGTCCATGTTCTTGACGTCGTCCTTGGACAGGAGGGCGCTGATGAACTGACTTGTGCGGGTGAGATCTTGGTTTTGCAAGCGAGCAGCTCGCATCTCGGTCTAAAGACAGGTTAGCGGCAGGACATGAAAACGGCCAGGCAAGACGTACGTGAAGCTTCTTGACAATGTGCTCCGTGGTTATCGGGTTCATCCAGAATTGTCTCTGCTGGCCCGCCCCGTTGGCCGGGACCATCCCATTCGCAGGCGGCATGCGGCCATTCGCCCCCATGGACGCCTGCGAGCCCGTCCGGCCTCGCGGAGGAGCACCGGGGGCGGGCATCAGCAGCGCGCCGTTGGACGGATCAAGCTCCCCAAAGTTCATCTCCATCAGGTTGTTGGAGGGGTTCGCATACCCGGCATGCTCGACCTTGGCGGCGACTTTGTGGTGGACGACGGTCTTTTGATCTTCGCTTACAATGTCGATGCCAAGTTCGAGGTGGTCTTGGGATTGAAGTTCGTGCGGCTCCGACTCTCGGTTTTCGGGGGATAGCCGCGTCCCATTGACAAAGGTGCCGTTGGAGGACTTGACATCCCTGATCCAGATCTTCCCGCTCGAATCGGCCCATACCTCGGCATGCTGCCTCGACAGCACTTTACTGTCGAAGAAGCCGTTGACTGGTGTCGGCACCGTCTTTGCGTTGGTTTGTCGGCCAATCCGGAGCGTGTCTGGGGAGAAGGGCACGGATATTGTCTTGCGATCGAAGCTTCCGTTGAGAGAGAGAAGCGAGAGGACGGGCTGGCGACCGGGAGCCATGCCCTCCTGGGCTGGCCTCGACGTGCCATTCTGGGCCATCATCTGGTTCTGCTGGGCGAGGCTGGCCTGGGACGGAGGCTGGTGCAATGCCGACCCGCCGTTCGTGCCGTTGGAGACGGGAGGGCGATTCGGCGTAGGGCGGTTGAACTCGGCCGCCCCTTCTGCCTTTCCGTTTGGCCATCGCTTGGTCTGGGGCGGCCTCTTCTGCGTCCCGTTCGCGTACCCGCTCAAGTCTCCGTTGGCGAGCATGGCGCTCCCGTTGGACTGGGCATTGGAAATGACCGTCGAGGTCGACGAGTTGGAGGACGTCGACGACACCGACGATGAGGAATTGGTTCGCTGGATGGTCTTGCGGTTGAACATGTTGTTCCCTCGTTGGTCGTCGGCACTCATCGAATTCAGGGTCTGGCCGCCGCTAATCCATCCCGGTCGGTTGAGATTCGAAAAGTTGGGCGGGTTCGCGACAGCCGTCATCGGAGATAGTGTCGGGAATGGCGAGAGGGTGAGGGTCGCGGCGAAAGAATAGGATCCTGGCAGGAAATGGTGTCGTCGGCGACGGCAGGGTCCCCGCTCTCCTCACACGGAGCCTCTCGGCGACCAGGACTAGTCCGACGGTCGCAAATGGTCGCCTTCAATCGGCGGGGCGGTGGTCTCGGGGGGGAGGACGTGTCGCGATCAACTAGAGACAGGAGGACAGTTAGCTCTGACGTCGAGGCACGTCGCACGCCGGTCGGGGTTCGGCGCGGACAGCGACAACGCAGTGGCGCTGGCGACCGACAGAGGGCAGTGAGGGAATTTCCCGGTCGCGCAGGACACATACCTGGCAAGGGCGGCGATTAATGTCGGGGTCGCAGATGGTCGGGGGCTTTGGCAATGCGACGGCAACACAAGGAGTGAGGTTGACGATGAGAATTTGAGGCGAAGGTCGCTCTCCTGGGCCTCGAGCGCTTAGCGAGGGACGGGGGGGCCAGAGGGTGATCAGCGCGCACGCGCCAGGCGGGCAGCAGCCCAGCAGAACCAGGACTCGTCCCCTACTCGCCCGTCTCTTGCAGCGTCCGCGCTTGCGATTTGCGGGCCAGATCCCACGCTGTGGCGAGTCGAGTCCAGCCAAAAACAACAACTGCACATTGATTTGGAGGGAGCCTGTCGCTGTGCACGCGGTATGGGTAGGCTCAGCAGGCACCTGTGGAATATTCTTGTGTCTTGATCCACTGCTTTCCACAAAGAAAGGTCCACAGCCAGCAGCATGCTGGCGACAACACAGTCACGTGACCCGACGTGGACGGGGGAGACTGGGCACATCAACCCGCGTCACATCAACTGCAAATCTCAGGCAGGGAGGACGGGAGGACAAGTGGATGAATGTGGAGGGGTGGTCCGAGCGCCTTGACCCCTCTGCCTCCTTGCAAGGCGACAAGAAATTCAACAACACGTGATCGTGGCATGCTGTTGATGACCTTGTTATTGATGGAAATGGGACTTGGACGCTCAAATAGCGTATTCACGAGTTGGATCCTCATGATGGCCCCTGCTCAAGTATAATTTACCAAGTCATACCCCCAGTTTATAGCTGGCAATGTGTTGAATAGGGACCGGTCAGAAACAGTTTCTTGTCTGGCTTTGGCTCGCTTTCCTTCGGCAACGCGGGATCATATGGCCCGTGCACAGTGCTTCTGGAGTCTGGAGTCTGCCCGCGGCAACAGCTGCAACGATTGTGCCGTCGCCGTCGCATTTTCTCTCCTAGCACAACACCCCAACTGTCCGCATCCGACCGACTGCGAAACACCAGCTACCCAAGCTCTCAAGCTCCCAAGATGCCGCCCATGCCGAACCGAGGGCCCGTAGGCCCCTCCACCGCCGACAAGCGTATGTTGCGATGGCCCCGGGCTGGATCATCCTCGTGCGCCGCCAGCTAACGCTCCAGCAGTCAAGATGGGCGCCATGATGGGAGGAAGTATGCTACCCCTTGCCGGCCTGGTCTGGGCTGGGTTCACCTGCTAATATGCCTCTTCCAGCTGTCGGAACCATCATTGGGTTCATCTTCGGTATGCCGACCAGTCCTGGACCTCGACCGA